TAATCCGGACTTTTTGAAGTGCATATTGGTGACAGACGAATCTACGTTCACACGTAATGGGGTCAACTGGAGAGTGAGTACTTTTTCCTTTATATATTTTTTTTACATGGTCGGCCCTCGTTTCACTACGCATTACCTTTGTTATTTCAAGGGTAGTTGTTTCTGAAAAGGAAAAGCCCAACTTTGCGGACACCCTGTATTAACCTTCGGAAATCGTGGATACCCTTATGTTGACTGATTTCGCTGTTGAACAATAAAAACAATGACACTCCGTTAATACTATTAACTGTTAGAACAAGTTACCATACACCGATCCGCGGGGAAAGGAATAAACGATAAGTAATCAATTTTGGGCAGTTAACATCAATTAAACTCAGAATACCAAAATAAAAAGGATTTTCCGTTGGCAATATATTCGGTCTGCTGTTACTTATGGGCTATAAATGTATAAAAAAAATTGTGTTACTTAATTTTGTTATTTTACAAAACGGTCTTCGTCTCTTCTTCTTCTTCTTCTGCTACGGTCTTCACACACACACACACACACACCCCCCTCCTACCCTGTGCGGTCCCTCCACCACCCCTGTTCCAGGCAACCTCAAACCCTTGAGGAGTGGGGGGAAGAGCAATCAGCTCCTCCCCCCACTCCCGCCCAAAGGCCTGGAGTGGCGCTGCGTGGTTCAGGCCGCTTGCGCATTCCCCGAGTGTGTGCTGCCGAACGAGCTATCCCCCCTTCCCCAATTTTGCCCCTTTTTCCCCGAAATTTGACTCGATCGCGCACGCGTCGCGGAAGCGCGTGGTGGACGTTTCTTCCAACTGTCGGTTCTCGACTTTATGGGCCGGCCTCTTTTCTTGGGGGTCCTGCGCTGGGGGCTTCGACCTAAGCCCCTCCTAAAGGTTGGTGAGCCTTCGCTCTTTCCTCGGTCGACTGGAGTCAGTCAGTCGTCGTCAGTCAGTCATATTGTAAGTCATTCGTCTCCTGAGGTTAGCCCCGAGTCCGTGCTTGACTCTGGCCACCTCAATCGACAGGCTTCTTTTTGTCCACCCGTTGTACACGGGCTGTTCTTTCCCTCTTGGGTGTACAACTATTGTCGGTCTTCTCCCCCTTTTCTTTGGCCTGATCAGCTGCTAGGGCCAAATATCTTCTTGTTGCAGCTGGCTTTTCGGTCTTTTATGACGCCTTATTGTTCTTGGGTCGTAATCCAAGGCGGCTTCAATCAGCACATTTCTTTTCAAAGAACTTTCTGGCCCTCTCTCTCATCTGGATTACGACCGGTACCTGTCGTAGTTCGTCATATAGCACTCTGTTAGGTACATACCACGGTGCGTCCACCGCTTCACGGAGTGCCATGTTTTGTTGAGCTTGGAGCCTCTTCTTCATCGTTTGGAAACGTAGCCCCAAGCTACTGCTGCGTAAGTCATGATTTGTAGCAGCACCATCTGAATCATGATGGTCTTATTCTTTAGTGACACTTTGCTTCTTCTGCCCGTTAAGGGTCTTAGTTTGGAGCGTGCCATCTTCACTTTCTGCACCCGGTCTTCGACATGGTTCTTCCAAGTGAGTTTCTGGTCCATCTTGACTCCAAGGTATGTGCTGGAGTCTTTCCAGTCGACCTCAACCTCTTCATCTCTTCTCCAGCCTCTCTCCATTCTGGTGGTCGTCATCTTTATTTTGGTCTGAGGTAATCTTCGATTTCTTCGGAACAGTACCGCTTCGGTCTTCTCGGGGTTGAGGCGGATCTTCCACTTGATGCACCATTCCTCTAGGTTGGTGGTCGCTCGTTGCAGATATTCCGTAACCATGCGGGGTCTCGTACTTTCTGCCGCATATGCTGTATCGTCCGCATACACATACAGTTGCGTTTGAGGAGTCTTCGGGATGTCTGAGCTGTAGATTGGATACAGCAGGGGTGGTAGAACCGCTCCCTGCGGTACTCCTGCCTCCACAGTCCTCGTCGTCGAGGTTGTTTTACCGATCCTAATTCGGAAATTTCGGTGCTTCAAGTAGGACTTCACCAGTTGGATCATCCCCTTTGAGTATCCGTGGTCTACCATCTTGTAGATCAGTCCGTCATGCCAAACAGTGTCGAACGCCTTTGCGGCATCCATGAACACAGCTCCCACGGCCCGCCGAGTCTGGAACGATTTCGTTGCCATCTCGACCAGCCTTAGGACCTGGTGCTCTGCTGAATGCCCGCATCGGAATCCGAACTGTTCGTCTGGAACTACTCGGAGTTCTTCGGTTTCGTTCTTCAGTCTTCGTTCGATTACCCTTTCCGCAATCTTGCTCAGTGCCGTCAACAGGCTTATGGGTCTGTAGTTTTGGGGGAACCTTGGGTCTTTCCCAGGTTTAGGAATGTTGATCACCTCGGCTACTTTCCAGTGATCTGGAAAGTACCGGTGTCTCAGTATGGCGTTGACGATGTTGGTAATTGCCATTATCGCTTTCCTCGGGAGTCTCTTCAGGACTCTGTTCCCAATATCGTCTACACCCGGTGCCTTCTTCACCTTGAGTCTTTCGATGATTTCCCTTACCTCGCCTGGAGAGGGCATGTCTTCGATGGCTCTTCCTCCTCTGACAGCTCTCCTCGATCTTCTCATCACCTCGTCGATGAAGTCTTCGTCTTCATCGGGGTGAGTATTGAGAGTACACTGTCTCTGAAGGTTGTCAGCAAAAGCTTCCGCCTTCTCTTCGGTTGTGTACACCATCCCCTGTTCGCTGTGTATTGGGGGGATGGGCTGTCTTCTATTTCTGAGGATTTTAGCCAAGTTCCACATTCCTGGGTCAGCTGGAGATAGTTCGTCGAGTTTCTTATCCCAGGTGCTCTGATGGTGCTGCTTCAAGGCGTCTCGTGCCTGTCTCATAAGTCTGTTTGCCACCATGATGTCAGTGGGCTTCTGGTCTCCTGGGCTACTCTTCGGGCTCTGTTTCTTTCGGTGATCTTGCGATTTACCTCGTCAGGTAGGTCCCTGAACCTGTTTGGTTGCGTTATGTCTTCCACGGTGGTTGCGGCTTCTAACGCAGCCTTAATCTTCCTTTCTAGGTCCGTGACCGCTTCTTCTATGCTTTCGGGGCTTTCGATCTGTAGTAGTGGTCCTTGTGAATAGTGCAGTCTGGTTCTAAAACCGCTGCCAATTCACTCTCTTCACTGTTCTTTGTTCCACAGGTGTTATCCCATCTCCCGTACAGAGAAAGATGGGGTTGTGGTCTGAGCTTCCCTCTTGCATGGCGCCGATGGTGGTGCGCATGTCGATTTCCTTCAGAATCGCCATATCTATGACGTCTGGTCTACCTCCGTTGCTGGGGTATATTGTAGGTTCGTCCGGACCTATCATGGTATATCCAGGTTCATCCATTAGTCTTTCCAGAACAGCGCCGTGACTGTTTCTGTTTCTTGAGCCCCAAATGGTGGACTTCGCGTTTAGATCACCTACGATCACGGTACTGTTTCCCAGTGCAGTGATACAGGTGACATCTTCCAGATATTACGGACTTCTTCTATACATATATATATATATATATATATATATATATATATATATATATATATATATATATATATATATATATAGAGAGAGAGAGAGAGAGAGAGAGAGAGAGAGAGAGAGAGAGAGAGAGATAGATGAAAAGATTAAAATAACGACCACAGCTAATTATCATTTTGCATTTTATCATAACATAGTGGTTCTGAAAAGAACCGTTTTTTTTTTGTTCTTATTTTTCGAACCGTATAACCGTCGAAGCGAATACAACGTCTATATTATTTTGAACTGGTGTACTTGGTGACGGCTTTGGTACCTTCGCTGACTGCGTGCTTGGCCAATTCTCCCGGTAGCAATAGTCGTACGGCTGTCTGAATTTCTCTGCTAGTTATCGTGGCACGTTTGTTGTAATGTGCCAATCTGGAAGCTTCCGCAGCGATACGTTCGAAAATATCGTTGACGAAGCTGTTCATGATGCTCATCGCTTTGCTGGATATACCCGTATCGGGATGTACCTGCTTCAGTACTTTGTAGATGTAAATTGCGTAACTTTCCTTCCTCCTGCGCTTCTTTTTCTTGTCAGATTTTGAGATATTCTTCTGCGCCTTGCCCGCTTTTTTGGCAGCCTTACCGCTAGTTTTGGGTGGCATTTTATTGTGAGATGATGCTGAGTATAATCGACACCAACGCTCGACTAACGGAACGACTGCAATTCTCTGGCCGTATTAAGACAGGTGACGTTACGACCGTAGACTCCGCCCCAGGCGTTTGCCGGCAAACGTTCGCGTCGATTGGTCGGTTAGTTCATATAAATACAACGTTCGCGGAGATCATGTTGTGCATTTGCAAGTTCATAGTCGACGTCGTTCGTTTAGCAGATTAACAAATTGAATATGTCAGGACGCGGAAAAGGCGGTAAAGTTAAGGGAAAGGCAAAGTCCCGATCCAGCAGGGCCGGCCTACAATTTCCCGTCGGTCGTATCCACAGGTTATTGCGAAAAGGGAATTATGCTGAACGCGTCGGTGCCGGAGCTCCCGTATATCTAGCGGCCGTTATGGAATACTTGGCCGCTGAAGTTTTGGAATTGGCAGGCAACGCTGCTCGCGACAATAAAAAGACCCGTATTATTCCACGTCATCTGCAATTGGCCATCAGAAACGACGAAGAATTGAACAAATTGCTTTCAGGCGTCACAATTGCCCAAGGAGGAGTTCTCCCTAATATCCAAGCTGTTCTTTTGCCGAAAAAGACGGAGAAGAAAGCCTAAAAAAAAAAATCTTCTGAACATACAATCGGCCCTTCTCAGGGCCAACAAGTAATTTAATAAGAAAATGAAGGGATTATCATTTGTATATGGAAAAATTTTCTCAGGGTGATATCGGATCGGTTGTGGCGCGAGAAGTTGGCAATAACTAAATTATTTAATCGAGGCATCTCATCGTCGCATTCACGTCTAATATTCGCCGGTATCTCGATAATGGGACATATCGGGACCGAAATCGTCGATTATTGTAATTCAAAGAGCCAAAACGTATAAGTCGATCAATTTCTCATATTCCGATAAACTCATTTATGTGAGTGTTTCTTTTTATTTTGTATAAAAAAAAATAGAAAATTAATGTGGCGGTTCAATCGGCAGATCCATTCTTTCTCACGAGAGTATATGGTGGTTCTGAAAAGAACCGTTTTTTTTTTCTTTGTATTGTATTTTCGTTCAACCTGTACCGTGGTAATTGCTGCGGAGTGTTTAACCACCGAATCCGTACAAAGTGCGTCCTTGTCTCTTTAATGCATATACGACGTCCATTGCAGTGACTGTCTTCCTTTTAGCGTGCTCGGTGTAAGTGACTGCATCCCTGATTACGTTCTCTAAAAAGACTTTGAGCACTCCTCGAGTTTCTTCGTAAATCAATCCGGATATACGTTTTACTCCTCCACGTCGCGCCAATCTTCTTATGGCCGGTTTCGTAATTCCCTGGATGTTATCCCTCAAAACTTTACGATGCCTTTTCGCTCCTCCTTTTCCCAATCCTTTACCACCTTTACCGCGTCCAGTCATTTTTCAAGATTCTCTCGCACGTCGAACTGTTAAAGCGAACGGGCTGTTGCCAACTGACGGTACGTCTCTCGTGACGCCCGGTTTTGTTAGCGTTGTCGTCCCTCCTATTGGTCTATCAATTGGCCAATCAGACTGTTTCGTATTTCGAGCCCATATAAATATAACTGTTCGCGGTGTTTACCTCCGCTCACTATAATATTGTCCGTTGCAATATTCACGTCGCTGCTATATAGATAATTTATATTCAGTTATCTGAAATTTAACGTAATGGCGCGTACCAAGCAGACGGCTCGTAAATCCACCGGAGGTAAAGCTCCCAGGAAGCAATTAGCCACGAAGGCTGCCCGTAAAAGTGCTCCTGCTACTGGCGGAGTTAAGAAACCTCACCGTTATCGTCCGGGAACTGTGGCTCTCAGAGAAATTCGTCGTTATCAGAAAAGTACCGAATTGTTGATCAGAAAATTGCCTTTCCAACGGCTGGTCCGTGAAATAGCGCAAGATTTCAAGACCGATTTGCGATTCCAAAGTTCTGCTGTAATGGCACTCCAAGAAGCTAGCGAAGCGTACCTGGTCGGACTATTCGAGGATACGAACTTGTGCGCGATCCACGCTAAGCGAGTAACGATCATGCCGAAAGATATACAGCTGGCAAGACGTATTAGGGGCGAACGTGCCTAATGGAATTGACGGATTTACTATTTGCCGGAAAGAGAGAGAGAGAGAGAGAGAGAGAGTACGGCGTGCGATAATAGGTTATAAAAAAAAAAACGGTTCTTTTCAGAACCATCATATAGTATGTTCAGAAAAAGGGGATCGTGTATTATGTTAAGTATATCAGATTGTTGTTTGTACGCGTGCAATTTCGACACTATTATCGTGTATGCAAATAGCGCTAAATGGTTATACGATAGTCGCTAGTTATTACCCGTTATCCTATATCGAAGGATTGTGGTGCTTTGTAGTAAACCGTTACATTGATATTATTCTAATAACGTACGAATTGTATGTATGTGTATGGAAGTAAAATAACTTATAAGTAGCATGTGATTATAATGTAGATAATTCGACATAATATAGATATTTTGCCGTATATATTGCTTAGGCGTTTAGGCAGGCTGTTAGCGTGTAATACGTAACATTAGGTACTTTCACGTAGATCAAAAGTCAGTAATGCGTACGTCTAATAATTAATATGTAGTAAGAGATGAATTTATAACTCGATCGCTCGTATATTATATATAATATTTTTCTACTCTGGCTTATTTATTACGAATAATAGATTGATGTCTCATATTATTATCTATTTTGTCATATTACAGGAGTAATGTTAAAATTATCGCGATATATTTCGCGACTGTGCACGTTCGGATGTACGCCAGACATACCTCCGTATAATTGCGATTATCTAAAATACCTTATCCATTAGCCGTATACCGACAGTATAATTGTATTACGAATAGTCGTAGATTGTTAATTTCATGAAATATCTAATTATATAACGTATTCGTATAATATAAATTAGATCAAAAAGCCGGACGATTAGGTCCAAAGCGGATACCTTGCACGTTTCACCTTATAATTTTATCGTGTACGTAGCGTACGTGATCAAGTCGCGAAGTTAAATGTGTATTTCAAATTATGCAGATTTCATATTCGTTCAGGTTTTAGCTGTTGCTCGTATGCAATTATATCAGCGACTCAAAAAACCAACAGATACGACCGCAGGCTTGGCAGAATTGAAGCCGTCGAAATCGGTTTCGCTGCAAAGTCGGAGCGTTCAATGTTCGGTCCGACCGAAATGACTTGGGTCACGACGCTGAATTTACCTCTCACATTCATTCGACATTCGTTCTCTTAGCGAGATCGTCGATCAGTGATTGCAAAAGATCGCGCGTATACAATAATCTGTCTCCTCTTCACGACTCGTAAACATGGCAGATACGGAAAACCAGAATTACGCCGCGTCGGCTACGGCTACCGCGAATTCTGCGTCGCCGACGTCGCAGTCGTCTGCGAAAAAGGAGAAAAAACCGAAGAATCCGAGGGCGAAGCCGTCTCATCCTCCTACTAGCGAAATGGTCATCAACGCAATTAAAGGATTAAAAGAGCGTGGCGGGTCGTCTCTGCAAGCTATCAAGAAATACATAGCCGCTAATTACAAAGTAGACGCTGAGAAAGTTGCGCCTTTCATCAAGAGGTACTTAAAATCGTCCGTCGCGTCTGGAGCTTTAGTACAGACGAAAGGCAAAGGAGCTTCCGGATCGTTCAAGCTAGCTTCGTCATCGGCTGGCGGAGCGTCGAAAACTTCATCATCGTCAGCCGCAAAGGTTGGCGAAAAGAAGAAGAAATCCGCGACCGGCTCAAAGAAGAGCGGAACCGTAGCTAAGAGAGCTAGCGGTGCGAAATCTGCGAAGAAGGCATCTCCGAAGGCTAAGAAACCGGCGGTGGCCGGTGGTGCGGCCGAGAAGAAAGCTTCTCCAGCTAAGACAAAGAAAAGTGGGAAATCGGCGACGTCGGCTAAAGCTTCTTCTGCTGCACCTTCTGCAGCGGCTGCAAAAAAATCTCCTTCGAAGGCGAAGAAATCCAGCAAGGGAGCTCCGACCAAGAAGCCAAAAGCACCAAAACCGAAAACGGCGAAGGCTGCAACATCGCCAAAAAGGAAGGCCGCTTCACCCAAAAAGAAGAAATAAAAAAAAAATTTAGACGTGTTGCAACGTCGTAGATTACGGCTACGTCGGTTCGAGACGTTATATTTATGCGAGAGGATGCTATACGTCCCCGCGGATTGAAAATGGCCCTTTTCAGGGCCACCACTATTACTATAAAAAGGATACAGAATATTTACGAATTAGCAATTTTGTATCGAAATATACATGTACAACTGCGGCTCGTACGTGCGTTGATGTTTTTTTTTTTTTTTTTTTTTATTAAATTCGAGTATTATTCGTTTACGATTAGGTATTTATAAGCAAGTGGTAATGTTAGGCGTCGTCACCATCGATATTTGCTTTTAAGGGTATAAATAAGTATGTATTGTGTTTAATTAAACGAATGAACGTTAAACAGTCGATTGCGTCGTAAGGATATCCCCTTTTTTTACGCTTTCGTTTACCATTAAATAATCCGGTCGGGTCTTATATCAGACGTTATTGCTTTAGTGGTGTATGTATATCACGAATAATCATCTGGTATTCAAGTACCAATAATATATATGTTGCGCGTACGGTGATATCATTATCTTTACTTGATAACTTTAGTGGTTCTGAAAAGAACCGTTTTTATGTTGTAAGTTGTTGTTGATGTTGTTGTTGTCGTCGTAGTTACATATTACTTCGAACTGGTGTACTTGGTTACGGCTTTGGTACCTTCGCTGACGGCGTGCTTGGCCAATTCTCCTGGTAGCAATAGTCGAACGGCTGTTTGAATTTCTCTGCTAGTTATCGTGGCACGTTTGTTGTAATGTGCCAATCGGGATGCTTCCGCTGCGATACGTTCGAAAATATCGTTGACGAAGCTGTTCATGATGCTCATCGCTTTGCTGGAAATACCGGTATCTGGATGTACCTGCTTCAGCACTTTGTAGATGTAAATTGCGTAGCTTTCCTTCCTCCTGCGTTTCTTTTTCTTATCAGACTTGGAAATATTTTTTTGAGCCTTACCGGCCTTTTTAGCTGCTTTACCGCTAGTTTTGGGTGGCATCGCGTTTCGATTTACACAAAAAGTACGATCTTTACTGACACAATATCGTGATCTATAATGGAAAGGTGTGCGGATAAACGGCGAGCTTTAACAGCCACGACGTTACCGACATAGACTCCGCCCCTTACGGGTGACCGACAAACGAAAACGGTGATTGGTCGGAGTAGTTATATAAATATACTCGTACCTAAAGACATTGCCATTCTATTCTATTAATTCGGTCAACGACAGCAGATTGTAGTCGTCGATTCGCAAGTCAAAAAAGAAAATAATAAACAAATAAACATGTCCGGACGAGGAAAAGGCGGAAAAGTGAAAGGAAAGGCAAAATCCAGGTCTAGTAGGGCCGGTTTGCAATTCCCTGTAGGTCGTATACACAGATTATTGCGTAAAGGAAACTATGCCGAACGCGTCGGTGCCGGAGCTCCTGTGTACCTTGCCGCCGTTATGGAGTACTTGGCAGCCGAAGTGTTAGAGTTGGCCGGCAACGCTGCTCGCGACAATAAAAAAACCAGGATCATTCCACGTCATCTGCAGTTAGCAATCAGGAATGATGAAGAATTAAACAAGTTACTTTCCGGCGTAACTATCGCCCAAGGCGGAGTTCTTCCGAATATTCAGGCTGTCCTATTGCCGAAAAAGACAGAGAAGAAAGCCTAAATAATAATAATAATAAGAAAATAACGTCAAAACTAGAAATCGGCCCTTCTCAGGGCCACACAATTCGTTTGTTGAAGAAAAAATAGAGATCATCGGATCAGGAAACAAAAAAAAAAATCACGTAATATTTTGCCGATATTCCTTCATGCTGTTTGGGATTCAAGTAACAACAGCCCAATAACCGCATGATACAGTGTGATGTTACGTTTCTACGATACGGATCGTGACATGGAAAATGCAACAAATAATACCAATTCTTACTTACCGTAACATTTTATGTTTACCTAGCATCGATGGGTTGTGGAGCTCGACTATATGGAGATACCTTGGAGGGATAGTTACTTTCTAGAGGTACTGTCGGAATGATAGAACTTTATTCCAACGCAATTTTACATACAATGCCGCTAGTGTCTATAACGACAATCACGTTAACTCTCCCTCTCCCCCCCCCCCCTCTCTCTCTGTCTCACACATTGCTCTTCCCCCCACTCCTCAAGGGTATGAGGTTGCCTGGAACAGGGGTGGTGGAGGGACCGCACAGGGTAGGAGGGTGTGTGGTGTGTGTGCGCGCAACATCAGTTCCGAGCTAGCAGCCGTTGCGAGTGTATACTTGCACGACTGCGACACACCCGGACATATTGAGCAATCTTATTGCGATAGATTGGTTGTTTGTCATTTACGATGGCGAAAATTGAGAAGCTGGCTAACCAGCTGAAAGAGAAGAAAGATGCTGTCGCCATGCTGGCAGAGCAGATGCGAAACCTGCAAGAAGCCTTCTTGCAAGCACAACAGGAGATCGAGGACCTGAACGGGAAGCTCCGCAGGGCCACGAAGAAGGCCGCAAAGAAGACCGAAGAAGGCGAGGCAGAGGACCACCAGGCTACGTCGGACGAGATGGACGCTCAAGAAGAGGACACCCAACGGACCGAAGAGGATAGGACCACGACAGAGACAGCAAGCAACGACGACACCGATTTCAGTGTCGCCACCAGACGGAAAAAAAAAAGCGGGTGCGAATTTCCTCCTCCGAAGACGAGACGCCAAGGCAGCCAAAGATGCCAGCTGCCGCCACCAAGAACGAGTCCTAGAGCAGCCAGGACCGCCGATGCAAACATGTGCCAACTGATCCAGAGCTATCTAACACAAAGACGGTTCGCGGTGAGGATTGGTACATGCCATTCAACACGACGACAGCTGGTAGCAGGCGTGCTCCAGGAGTCAGCCTCAGTCCCCCCTGCTCTACAACATCTATACTCATGACGTACCGAAGACAGCTCACACAATGCTGGCCCTATATGCAGATGACATTGCTATCGCCGCTAAGCATCGACGACCCGAGATTATCCGTAGCAGACTACAGGATGAACTGGACTGTTGCGTGAAATGGAAAATCCGTATCAACGTCCAGAAGACGCAGGCAATCTTCATCCAACGAAGAAGGATTGCAAGCCCTCTCGAAGCATCCATCATCGACGAAGATATCCAGTGGAGCGACAAGGTCAAATATCTGGGGATCGTATTTGACAAGTCCCTCACCTGGAAAGACCACACATAGAAGCTGTCATCGCAAAGACCAGAGCAGCCATGGCTCAACTCTACCCAATACTGGGTAGACACAGCCGGATGCCGCTAGCGACCAAGCTACGGCTGATCAAGGCCATCGCCAGACCTCAGCTCGCTTACGCCTCCGCGGTCTGGGGGTACGCTGCTCTAGAGATGAAGCTACTCCGGATCGCCACCAACCGATCCATCCTACGTAAGAAACTCAACCTTGCGTAGAGACCTGCATTGGGACACCATTCACGAGTACATGAGGAAAAAAGCGGAGAAGACCTTCCAGAAAGCTCAGGACCACCCTAACGAGCAGCTACGATTCCTCATGAACTACGATCCGGACGAGAGGCATCGCAACCGCAGAACCAGGTACCCTAGACCAAGGTCCCAGTTGGCACCCGCTAGTTGGAACCTTGACTAGGAGACTAGGAGAACCCGCGGTTGCTGCAACATCAAAAGTATCTGAAAACCGTCCTGTAGCCGCGACATCCCCGACTGGTACTAGAACAACCCGACGACAGAACTGGGTGGTCGGGGTCAGTGTGTCAGGTCGGTATGCAACCTGCAACCGACGGTCACGGTCACGCGCGTAGAGGTAAACGAACCGGTATAATCGATTGCGTTTCAATAAAAAACAACGAGCACTAGAGACGTGGCTAGAGAAGTGCAAGTATCAAAAACTAAAGTGTGGCAAGCGCTGCGTGAAGAGGGGCTGTATCCGTTTCACGTCTAACGTGTACAAGCCCTTCAACCTGACGATTTTCCAGCAAGAGTGCGGTTTTGTGAGTAGTTGTTGCATCAACATGACAATAATCCGGACTCTTTGAAGTGCATATTCGTGTGACAGACGAATCTATGTTCACGCGTCGGGCACATTTTCAACAAACATTTTCGGTGAATGATAGGGCTGGCATGGTGAACGGTATGCTCATTGGACAATTTATTCTCCCAAATCGATTGGACGGGATGCAATACCTAGACTATTTACGCAACATTTTACCTTCCTTGTTAGCCTACGTCTGCTCGGTAGCGCATCAGCTGATT